GCTGCGAATGGTATTGGAATCTTATATGCTGAGAAGGCCAAATGGGATGTCGCTAAGGAGTTGTTCACACAGGTCAGGAAGAGGGACATAAAGTTCATTGTTCTAATTTGCTGCTTTACATGAACTTTGATTAATTAAATCAGCAATTTGAAATGAATTAGGTGCATGAAGCTGCATCAGGAAGTATATTTGTCCACATGCCTGATGTTTGGATCAATCTGGCTCATACATATTTTGCTCAAGGTCATTTTCAACAAGCAGTTAAAATGGTAATCTCTTGCTTGCCTGCCCCCTCTGTCTGCCTGATGTATGGATCAATCTGGGTCATACATGAGCTGTGGTGAAGTTAATAATTCATGCATAGACACACAACAATACGAGGTGAGGTGACATTGCTTGTTCTTTCTTGTAGTATCAAAATTGTTTGCGGAAGTTCTTCCACAATACAGATGCAACCATCCTACTATACCTTGCCCGAACACACTACGAGGCTGAGCGATGGCAAGACTGCAGGAAAACTTTGCTGAGAGCTATACATTTGGCTCCATCAAATTACTTGTTACGGTTTAATGTAGGAGTGTCAATGCAGAAATTCTCGGCTTCAACCCTGCAAAAGACAAAACAAACAGTTGATGAGGTCAGTATTGTTTTTCTTTTTCCCTTGCCTCTTCTTATATTTATTATGAAATGCTTGCAATAATACCCCTACAACATGACTTGATAGGGCGTGTTTGGATCTCATAGTTTTTAGAAACCAAGGTATTAACAAATCCCTCCGTCCCAAAAAGAGTGTCATTTTTGCTTCATTGTCCAGATTCATAGCAAAAACGATACTCTTTTTGGGACGGAGGGAGTAGTAGTTTTAGAAAGCCCAGGCGAGTGAAAACATGGTTTAGAAAAAGGAGGTCCAGAGTGGAATTTCTAAAATTCTAAACAGGTTACAGTTTTATCTACTGTAGTTTCCAAAAGTATCAGATTTGTTGCTTCCTAGTTTTCCAAAACCAAAGTATCTTACAAAACCGTACTATTATTTTTTTATCTAAAAAGCTGGAATACAACCTTGCATCTGAACAGGACATTTCTGTGATAAAACTGCTTCTCCATGTATTAGTTTTATATGCTATTACATTGAATGTGACATGGAATACACCACAGTACACAAGCTGCTGCATATTTCCAGTGTTTGAATCACGGATTCATGCAATTTATTTACAGACCTATATTGGGTTTGCATTGAAATGTTCATTAAAGAGCCATGTAGAGAGCCTCTTGGAGATGCTTCAACATAAATGAAATAAAAAGAGCCTTATAGATCATCAAATTCGTCATTTCTTCTGACGCTCTTGTCATAGAATTGATTTTGACTATATATATTTAATTTATTCATCAGAAGCATTCAATGATTCTCTTTCTATTTTTCCATTTTTATAGGTTCGTGCCACAGTCACTGAACTTCAGAATGCTATTAGAGTTTTCAGTCTGTTGTCCGTTGCATCAACGTACCACTCCCATGGTTTTGATGAGAGGAAAATAGAAACTCACGTTGAGTACTGTAAACATTTACTTGATGCTGCTAAGGTTCACCGTGATGCAGCTGAGCAAGCTGAACAGCAGAATAAGCAAAAAATGGAAGTTGCTCGTCAGATTGCTTTGGCAGAGGAAGCTCGCCGAAGGGCAGAAGAACAGAGAAAATTTCAGGTCTATCTTTCTTGAATTCTTGCATGAACTTCAATGATCTTATTTACCAAAGTATTTTAGGTCTGTTGTTAATGTGGTGTTTGTAACAGTTAGAAAGGAGGAGGGAAGAGGATGAGCTAAAGCAAGTAAAACAACAGGAGGAACACTTTGAGCGTGTGAAGGTATTTTATACGTATCCTTATGTATAAACCAGAGGCCAAAGGGCGCCTAGCTCAAACGGTTAGGTGACCCAGCGGCACTCCTCAGGTCCTGGGTTCGACTCCCCGTGGGAGCGGATTTCAGGCTGAGGTTAAAAAAATCCCCTCGCCCGTCCCCATGTGCCAAAGTGCAGTGGAAGGCCCCGGCCCGGTTCTCACAGGGTGACGGCACCTCCTGTGTCAGGATGGGGGCGGGGGTTTGGGGGTTTTCTCGATCTGTGTGAGAAGATCCTTCTTAACGGAAAACCCGGGGGCCGTCATAACCCCCCGCAGGTCGAGTTTTTTTATGTATAAACCAGAGGAAATAATTAAAAAAATACTAATGCAAAAAACTGCTGTTTGATCTCATTAATGCTTGCACCTTATCGTTGTTACTAACCTTGGACATTTCAAAGATAGGATCTCCATCAGTGGAGATGCAAATATCATGGCCTTTTATACAGTTGCCCCCCTCCTCTCCCCTCAGTGAACTCATGGTGGAAGCGGAGGATCAGAAGTTGATGCTGTTCTGGAGTTTATGCTTTAGTGAAAAAAATCTGCCACCTGCAGATCTAACGGCACATACTGAAGAGCAATTGTTTTCTGATGACAATGAGCCACCAACAAAAACGGGAAACTTATATAAAATATAACATGAGCCACCAACTAAAATATATAAAAGAACTGTTCCTTGCCAACTTGGCATCATTCCTTTTTCATGTAGGTCATGTGCTCAGGATTCCTTCCTTTCTTTTGTAGTGTTGCAAATACGTTGACTATGTGCATTGCTGCACAAGGTATGTTCTGACATTGTTTTTTTTTTCAGGAACAATGGAAAACATCCAGCCACACCCCTGGCAAGAGAAAAGATAGATCTAAGACTGAAGATGAAGAGGTGGGAAATGAAAAGAGGAGGAGGAAGGGAATTAGGAGGAAGGATCAAAAGACAAAAATGCAGTATGGGGAAGAGGAAGAAGATGAATACAAAGATGAACCAGAAGCAGTTGATGACTATGCAGACCTGGCAAGGTATAATGGTGCTGACAATTCAGAGAGTGCCCCAGATCACCTTCTTGCGGCTGCTGGCCTTGATGATTCTGATGCTGAAGATGACATGGTTAGGACTGTTGTTTTTCGTAAACAATTATATTCATTATTGTCTATGTACATTTTACCATATATGTTCATTTATTTACCTTTGGAAAATTGAATTTCAACTTCCATTGATTTGCATTGCCAAAATTCCTGTCAGATTTAGCTCTTGCCTTTTATGCTTATAACAACCAACCTACTTTTTTGGACGATTTGGTGCCAAATTGCCTTACACACCATTTCTGCTGCAGGGCCATCCTCAATCTGCAATAGAACGGAAGAGACGAGCTTGGTCAGAATCTGAAGACGATGAGCCAGTGATGAAACCAGCAGCACCACCTAGCCCGGGCGCTGATGGTTTGAGTGAATGAAAGGAACGGAGATAATGTTCTTGCAGTGAAGATCAACAAGCATGAGTCTTTACTTTAGGTTAGTATGGTGTTGAATTGGAGAGATTCAGAACTTCGCTCTACATATGCTGATTGTCAGGGAGTATACATACACCTTGTTGCCAATCTTGTTTATGTATGCGAACCCTCCATCGTTCAGTCTGGCGGTGATGACCTAAGGTACTTCCTACTCTGTATTTTGTTTATCACCGTAGTTTACGGAGGTGTTTAAACTGCTGGTTTCTGTAATATAACATGGACCTCAGTCTATTAGGGTCCTTTTGGTTCAGCTTCCTTGAAGTGCTTTTGCTTCTAAGAAGCCAAAAGCTAACCAAAAAGGGTGCAACACCCTAGCTGCTTCTCGCAGAAAGCTGCTTTCACGGTAGTTCATTTTGTACGGCAGGTGAGGAGCTGCTTTGAGCGGCTGTGGAAGTGGGACTTTCCCCAAAATTACACGGGTTACCACTGGTTATGGATGCCGGTTCGTTTTTTTCGTCGATCTTTCCCCATCCTCTCGCTCTTCCGCTCGCAAGATGCTTGTTTTCCTTAAAATTTGAAACATGCTCCGAAAACACAAGATGCTAAATTATGAGGTAAGCGATAGCACCAAGTGGCATATGAAATGGTGTCATAGAATGCTTAAAAGTGATTTTAAAAAGGTTGCAATAAATCGCACCAGCATACGTACATAAATAGGTCTATTAGACATAGTAGCACTGAAACAAGTTCCCAACTCCATACACAACAAACAATAAATTTATTACAGAGAGGGTTGACTCTGTTGTAAGCATAAACCGGACCACCCAATTTAGGCAGATTCAGAACAAACAACAAATAGGAGGAAATATTTAATCTATAATTCTTTCCCCTTGGTCATACATCATCAAATGGGACTTCTCGTCTTTGTCACTTCAGATTAGTCCTGGTCGATGTTGTCGTTGGTGCCTTATTCTTCATAAAGTGCAAATTTGGAGATGTATATGCTGCAAAATGAAGCTTCATTTTATGAGTGGAGAAAAAAAAAAAACATCAGATTAGTCCTGGTCGATGCTTTTGGTTGATCCAGAAGACAAAGGTAGGACCGGTTTGCCCCAAAACTCCTGGGAAGTGGCTATTCAATAGCTGTTGATGCAGAAAATTCTCGAGATGCTAACCACACTGAATATTCAGGGCTCGTTTGGTTTCCATAAGTCGGTGTTGAAAAGTCCAAATGACTTTATAATGACTTCAAATTGAAAAGTTTTGAATCTTGTTCTTTGGTTGTAGATCAACATGACTGCTATAAAAGAAATTAAATAATTTTTTATTTTGATCATTTCTTTCGTTTGAATAATATCCGATAATATCCGATTTGTGTGCCGCCAATAAACTTATTTGTGAAGCACTAAATGATTTCAAAACGAAAAGTATGCCGCTGTTCGAAAATAATAGGACTTAAAAAGGGTGACAGCGGTGAACCAACTTAAAACTTATAAACATGGGTGACTTATGAGTTGGTAGGTGTTTGGCAAAATAAGTCACTTTTTTCACTTTTTAACTTATAAGTAGGTGACTTATTTGGAACCAAACATGCCTCAGAATACGCAGGATGAGCACACACTGTTTCTATCTACCTATCCTATGGATAATTCTCAGTTTGGCACAGTCACGTGGAGACTGAAAAACCGAAGTGCTTCTTTCTGAAGTCTTCATCCTCTGCATCCGGGCGGGCAGTCTTTCTGAAGTCCGCCCCAGGAAGCGTCCTTCTGAAGTTAGAAGTGACATGGACAAGGGACAGCCGAGTCCTATTCAGCTGCCTGCAACTGTACTGTCCAACACTGCAATGCATCTGGAGTGAGACCTCAGAACTCGCGAGAATCATCAACAACGGCGCGAGCTCTGACCGATTCAAGCTTGCAAACATGTGATCAGATAAATATGCTGCGAAAGCGACAACCGTGCGTCACCTCGTCCGACACGTCGGCTACCTTTTGGGAAATCTGAAACTGAGGTGTAGGCCAATGGGAAAGGCTCTTGGAATGCTAAAATAGCACCGCAAACAAGATCGTTTGAAGAAGCAGCCTTGCAGAAATCCGACCGTAGAACCATGACCAGCAAGCAAACTCGAGGATCAATTATCCGGGCTACAGATGTGGCAGCAAAATCCTTTGCTGCCAGTAACAGCCTGAACTGCACAAATTCAAAATGTTGGAACATACAGATACAGGGATGAATCTTTGCCTCCCTTTTCCAATCTTTATATTTTGCTCCTGGAGCGGACATTCATCCATAGAACATACATTTTCAGGTAAAGTCCACTAAAAATCTTCAGCCAACCACACGGCAACTTCATTAACATCGCTGCAGCTGCAGGTTCAAACACTCAGCAGGCTCTGCTGTTTATTACACCATGTGATTATTATCTTACTGATAAGAGGGCGCCTGCACCAAGTGTCATATCTGGCGCCAAGGCTACCTTAACCTTGGCCTGTTAACGCCAGTGCCAAATGTGCAGACAAAACCGCTGAAAACGTAAGCACACTCCTCTGCTCCTTCTGACTGCATTGCATTTCGTCAGAAGAGCAGGGAAACAGTACAGACATCAGCACACCATAAGCTGTACACAGGGTCGATCGTTGGTACCAAAGTCAGTTCCGGTCGGTCCAAATGCGCTCGATCAGTAGCTCCAAAGACTGACCTCGCATTCGTACTCGTCCTCGATCCACGCGGTCGGCTGCGGTGGGTCGATGAGCATCCCCTGCGCCATGTCAAGATACCCATGCATTTCGAACTCCAGCCCGTCGTCCATCGGGTAGTAAGTGAAGTCGCCACCGAGGGCCGCCGCCGCCGCTCCCCTGTGCGCAGGGCGCCGCGACCGCCGCCGCCTCGGAACCACCCACATTGTGCTGCTGCTGCCCGGGCTGCTGCGGGCGGAACAGCTCGGCCGCCTCCACCGCGGCGCGGCGTATCTCGTCGTGGGCGGCGCCCTGCGCGGGGACGCGGAGCCTGCGCGGCGAGTCGGCGAAGTTGAGGCACGCGGCGCGGCCGCGCAGCGCGAGCGCGGCGACGTCGTGCGCGCGCGCCGCCATCTCGGCGGTCTCGAAGGTGCCGAGCCAGATCCGCTGCCTGCCGTGTGGCTCCCGCACCTCGCAGACCCACCGCCCGGGGTTCCGGCTGCGCACGCCCTTGTACACCGGATGCCTCGTCTCCTTGAACTTGGTCCGCCCCGCGCGCCGCTTCGGCGGCGCCGAGGACACCGTCATGTAGGCGTCGTCGTCGTCCCCGCCGCCGCCGCCCACTGGAGGAGACGGCGTCGAGTAGCCCTGCTGCCGTAGTACGCCCAGTCCATGATGAGTGTTGAATCAGTTCACTCGAGAAGCGTTTTGGATTGCGTGGCCTGGTTCGAATTTGGGAGGGAAGCGTCGGGCGACGGTTTATATTTATATGGCTCGGTCGCTCGGATAGGTGGATGGGTTAGTCTGGGACGGGGACGTACGGACGCGGGCGCGTGCACTGCTGCAACGCGGCGTGACACAAGGGGCGCCAGCCAGGCGAAGGGCGATGTCTGATGCGCGAGCCGGGTCCGCGCAGGATGGGATGGTGGCGGGCTGGGCTCGCGTTCTGGTTGGGTGGGGCGCGGGGGCTGCCTGGCTGGCTGTCGGACCAGCTGGAGGCCGCGCGGAAGCGGATAGGGACGCGCGCAACGCGCAGGTATGGGGCTACGGCGGGCGGGAGGCGGACTCGGTCACCCAGCACGGTTGGTGGGCTGGGCTTTGCTGCCTTTGTTGATGAGGGCTGGCGTTGAAAGAAGCCCCAAGAGGAAGGATGGAGATTTAGCTGGGCTTTAAAGCGGACGGACCGACGTGGGCCCGTGTGAGTTGGACTCGCAGAGCGCGTGATCTGTGTCGGAGCAGTATGGGTAGATTCTCGTGTGGGTCTTCTTCTCCGCCTTGCAGTTTTCAGCTGATGATGACAGCGCCGGTTTTGAACAGGTCCACGAGCATCTTCTTGGCCTTGCAGTTTTCAGCTGATGATGACAGCGCCGGTTTTGAATAGATGCATCTGCATCTCAGTGCTCGGGAATCCGGATGGGTCCGCCGTCCACGGGATTGGGCCACCGGGGTCCGTGGAAAGTGCGACAAATTATCCCCACCACGGTGGCTTGCTACCTACTCGTAGATTCGTCCTCACTCAGCTTGTAATTCTGCTGCCGGGTGAAGACTGCCCATCTTCTTTTGGAAATAGAGATAGCGTCCAAATCTACGGTGACTACCAAATACTTTATTATATCCAAAAGATTGACAGCCGATCTACAGTACTAACAGGCCCGGGCGCACCATTTGATCTGTGTGTGTCGGGTCAATTATGCACCTATAAAAGGGAACCAGCGCCCGGCCTTGTTGATGTTGTTGGAGCAGTGCCGAAAAAACCGCGGTTAGAGGACCGTGCTCGATCGTCTCGTCGGGCAAGCACCACCAAGCAGGCAAGCAGGGAGCGCGTGCTCGGTCACTCGTCAGTGGCGCAGTGCCGCCGAGTACGGGCCAGGCCAGATGCGGACCACGGCTCAGCGCCTGCGGACGTGCGTGGAGTCCCATGCCGGTGCGCCACCCCGCCCGGGCAGCAGCGTAAAGATGGGGCTTTTGTCGTCTCGTCGGTAGTGCCCTCGGGTGTCGATCAGCTGCGCGCTGGAAGGCACAGACACGTGTTGCTTCTGGAGGGGGCCTGGCCACGACTAGCTGTTGCCTGTTTTGTTGTTCGTTGCTACGCTAGTGCTCCCACGAACTTCTTGGTTGGGTACCCTGCTGCGGTTATTTCTCCCTTTCACAAGCTTGCACGGTTCAACTTCAAATGTACAGCTTGGTAGTAGCTTTTGTACCGAAAAAAAAGGATAGGACATAGTACTAGTTTGATTTACCTACCGAAGGATGGAAGACTCAATCACGCGTTCTTCTGGAGGGGGTATGGCCACGATTTATTTTGTTTTGTTTCTTTGGTGGTTGCTAGATATAGCTATTCAATTTGGTTTGGTTTGGCCAAAATCTGCTGCGGTTACCGGACCATTTCGCAAGCTGATTAATAATATCAATGAACTTCGTAGACATGAAATAGCATCACAATCTAGGGCTACCGAAAAGGATAGGGACATATTAGTAGTATTTTGATTTCCCGATGGATAAATCAAAGATTCAATAATATCAATGAACTTCGTAGACATGAAATATATAGCATCACAATCTAGTACCATCCCAAAAGGGAAATTTGGCAGGTCGACACCGATGAGTATCACTTTTGCCGACACCGGCAATAATAAGCGTAAATGATCCCAAAGTCTTCCTCCGATCCTCAGGCGTGAACCATTACTATACATCATTATTCAATTAGTCAGTCTTTGTTGTGTCTCAAACAGGCCTTGCTTGGTGGGACAATATAAATCTTGAAGTCTGATAAAATTTCATTGAGTTACTTTTTACCAAAAATAAAGCAAGAACTACAAAATCCAGGGATATTTAGAGAAAGTGGAATATGATGGTGATCGAAGAGTTTTGGAGAACATATAAATGTTTTGTTTCTGCAATGTAAAAAAATGGGAACTACTGCCCTCAAACTAAATGAAATGGTGAAGAAAGACAAGTTCTACAAGCTATTGTTAGATCGGGCACACTCTTTTGTTCCACGAGCTATTTTTTAATGATGTTTTTTTATATAGTTCTACTAAAGGCAGTCCAAACTAGAAACTAATTATGATGATTTATGTGATCATTAATTAAGGTGCCAACAAACTAAGCAAAATAATGATGTGTCATTGGAAGTAAGGAAGTATATAAAAACTATGTCTACACAGGAAATATGATAGAAATTGATATGATAAGCAGATGACAGAATAGAGAAGATAAGTGATTGGACAAAAAATGTTTTTAAAGAAACCATCCACTGAAAATATGATTTCTACGTGTAACAAGTATGAAAACTATATCTCTCTTAGTTTCTAAGTTGGAATTACCATAATGGCACACCGGACTCATTTTGAGTAACAAAGTAGGAGCGAATGCTAAAGTAGTTGTACTGTTCTCCTTCTTAGTGATATACTTCGAAACAGCCGTTTTGACTTTAAATCATCTCAAGCGAACAACCCCACAAGTAGGTGCCAAGGTTTTACAAGAACAAAAGAGAGGAAGGACAAAGACAAATATACAAAAAAAAAAAACTAATGGCTGAAACAACCACCAATGAAGGGTAGGGTGGTGATCCACATTGATCGAACTTGCCTAGTTATTTCAAGGCTAGGGGAGCTCGTCTTTATATTTATATACTAGGGTTTCAAACTCAATGGATCAGTTATCATTTATCAAAGCTTGTAATTTTTTTTCCAAATGCAGTTGAGTTGATCTTACATTAAAAGTGTAGTAATATTGATTTCTCTAGAAAATCCTTTTTGTGTATTGGTCATGGGACTATAACTTATGCTAACTTACACTAAAGTGGTCCGGTAATATCAGATTTACTGCACCCTATATGATTTGTCTAAAATAGAGCTAAAATTTGAATGAATTTCACTCACATTTTTTTTTTGAAATTCATGATTTGTGATGTTACTGGGGCTAGAATTCATAACATCCACCATGCCCCAGACATGAAAAGGCAGAGGAAGATATACCGGCCCACTGTTATATCAACTACCACAATTTTAAGCAGAATGGTATATATATAGTGCATGCAGCAAGAAGGTTAGGAGCAAGAGAGGCAAATCTAATTAAAGGGAATGTCGGCAACAACAACAGAAGAGAGCAAAAGAGATGGAAGATGAGGAGTTTTTTTTCCGTAGTTGGACCGTGCGCCGGGGTCAACATCAGGAGAAGGCAAAATGTTATCGAAATTGTCGATTCTAAATCGAATCGGATATCTTTATGTAACATCCGACCAAATCATTGAATCATAAACATATAAAAATAATAGAAATATAGACTACATTGACTAGAATATATAGTAGAATGAAACATTCTAATTGTAACTGTAAAGACGTAAACCAGATTTGAACAAGCACCAACAAATACAAATTCATCCATACTGAAACTTCAGTTTGTTCGCGATAGCACATGAAATCTATCACTTTCTATGGGTGTATGAAAAGCAAACAGTTGTCTGGTTATGCGTATTAGGTGATCTGATTGGATGAAGATATCTCCAGAAGCAGTAGTATAGATGTAGAATGACGACAAACAGCTGAATTAATTATGCATACTCCCATCCACTTCTCTTTTCAACATATTTTTTAATTTCACCGACCAATCACTTGAAAGCGAAAGGCCTACACACTGATACACTTGCTTCTAAACTGCGAAGTGCGAGCTGTACAAGAAGAGTGTTTAGTGAAGGGCTAAAGGTGGAACGATGCCCTGCGCGCACGTCTTATAGTTGATCCACCGCCAAAACACCGATTAATTTGCACAATACCAGCTTTACACACAACAACATCCACTTATAGTCTTATACAACACAGCAGGCCTGCATGACGTATATACCTACTTTCTACTTGGCATTCCAAAATAACCATACGTATATGTATATGTATATGCCCTTGCAGATTCATATGTACTGCAACGGCCAAACTGCACTGAGGTAGCTAGGTATATTAGAGCCAAGCGAAATCTAGTGTAAAAAAGAGGCCTTACTACCTTGTGACTTCACAGCAGAAACCAGAAAACACACATCATCGAGCGGTAAAAAGGAGGAGGAAAGATACACTTCATCTTCCGGCGGAGGGCTGAAGCTATCCCCACTGCGCAAATGGCGGCTGACCTGGACTGGACAGAAAAAATGGCACTCCAACGGACGGGCACCAGTATGTGTACCTCGCTCCTTTATCTCCCCATATGGCCATATCACTCCCAGCTTCCAGGTTCAGTAGAAGTAGCAGCAGCTGCAGGCAGTAATGGTAGTAGTAGAGAGCTTATTAGTTTCATCATCACATCCATTATTGTTGTTACTATCTCCGATCCACTACTGGTATGCAATCCGGTATCGATCGATCTACGGATCACGGTAGCTCCAGAGGCTGTCCCCGGCATCTGACGACGACGGGTGGTCCGGCGAGTCGTCCGACGAGTTGTGGCCGAACCTCGGGGGGCTCATCATCATCCCCGCGGCCATGTTGCGCAGGTACTGCGGCGTCTCGAACAGCGCCTCCTCGTCCAGGAAGTAGGGGCTCCCCGCGCTGCCGCCGCCTTCCTGCTGTGCCGCGGCGGCGCTGCTCCCGCCGGGCTGCTGCTGCGCTGTTCCAAAACACCAAAGGCTAGCGAAGTGGATCCGTGTCCCATTTTCCCCCTCTCTTTTTCCCCTTCTGTTTTTGAGGATCCCGCGATTTGCTCCTCCCAATAAGTCAATAACATTTCCAAACTCCGATCCTCCCCTGACGCAGCTAAAAGATTCAACTTCAGCCATGGAGCAAAGAATATTTAGCACGAACTCGCTTGCTGCGTGCTTCGCCCACTTTTTTTCGAAGAAACGGACAGCACGCATTTTTTTTCTATGAAAAATGGATAGGAGAAGAAGAACTAATTTCAGCACCAATATAGATATTATTTGTCAAAATATGATCATAAATGTTAAGTTAAACCATGGCCCTTAATCAGAGGCGGGCGCAGGATTTGACCATGGGTATTCAAAATTCTAAATGGTAAGAAAAAAAATTTAACAGCCTAAATTATAGTTTTATAATACAGAATTAATAGGTAGTATCATTGATTAATAAAATTGATCACAACTTGAAATTGTCCGGCTACTAATGATCAACATATCAAAGTGGCAACATGTGAAATAAATAGAGGATAAAATAGCAAAATGGTAGCAAGGCTTTCAACTTACAAGTTGCACGACAACTTTCCGATCCTTAGACTGACTCCAACGACGGTACCCATACCAAAAAATAAGTCTTGTACAGTGTTTTTGCCTATCAAATACCCGCTCCAACAGCTAACCCATCCGCGCAACGCATTTTGGCTATCGGGCGAAAGGAAACACAGAAAAGCGTCCTCCTCTCCACCCATATATCTCTGCGGCGCGACAGCAGCAGCTGCAGGCAGTAATGGTGGTAGTAGTAGTAGAGAGCTTATTAGTTTCATCACCACATCCATTATTGTTGTTACCATCTCCGATCCATTACCGGCATGCAATCCGGTATCGATCTACGGATCACGGTAGCTCCAGAGGCTGTCCCCGGCATCTGACGACGACGGGTGGTCCGGCGAGTCGTCCGACGAGTTGTTGCGGCCGAACCTCGGGGGGCTCATCATCATCCCCGCGGCCATGTTGCGCAGGTACTGCGGCGTCTCGAACAGCGCCTCCTCGTCCAGGAAGTAGGGGCTCCCCGCGCTGCCGCCGCCTTCCTGCTGTGCCGCGGCGGCGCTGCTCCCGCCGGGCTGCTGCTGCGCTGTTCCAAAACACCAAAAGCTAGCGAAGTGGATCCGTGTCCCCTCCCATTTTTCCCCTCTTTTTTTCCCCTTCTGTTTTTGAGGATCCCGCGATTTGCTCCTCCCAATAAGTCAATAACATTTCCAAACTCCGATCCTCCCCTGACGCAGCTAAAAGATTCAACTTCAGCCATGGAGCAAAGAATATTTAGCACGAACTCGCTTACTGCGTGCTTCGCCCACTTTTTTTCGAAGAAACGGACAGCACGCATTTTTTTCTATGAAAAATGGATAGGAGAAGAAGAACTAATTTCTGTAGAAGTTAAGTCCTGCTCCCAGTTATCACTTAGTTATTTGTGCTTATTTATGTTTCTGCTATTAAGGCCTTGGGCAGCACAATGATGCAAGTATAGGCAATTTGTTTAGTTAATGCTCTAATGAGCCATCAATGTAATCAATGTGCTACTTATCTCCTATATATGAAAGGCAATACTGGGTGTATAATCCGGGTGAGTAAAACACTACTCTGTACCTCCAACAAATTGGTACCGAGCCTGGGACACCCTCTCTCATCTTCTACTTGAGCCCCTTCCCTGCTTTCTCATCCAACATGGTAGAAGGAAGGTTGCCAAAGGCGCGGCGATGGAGGAAAGAGAGGCAACAAGCCTGGTCCAGCCTAAATTATAGGTTTTATAGGATAGTCTTGAGGAGGAGAATTAAGAAGAAGTAGTATCATCTCCATGATCCATGAGGCGTGGTTGCATGATACGGAGTCGCTTTGTGTTGACAGGTCGTATCTGAGGACTTCGGGCAAGCGGCAACGAATGGCTTGGCGATCTTTGTCCAAAACGAACTACCACGAATGGAGCCAAGAGATGAAAGCTGCGAAACAGCCCGCGATCTGTGGCAACTTGATGAAGGAAGCGGGTCTCGTTCATGACGGCCGTGCCGGGCTATGGAGGGATTGTCGCGGCGGTTCCCAAGGAGATGGGGATTCCGCTCATGGTACGGCGAAGGCGTGGGACGCATAATATTTTCGGCGTGGGATGGTCCGCCATGACGCCGCAACGCATCCGCCGCGACGGGAGAACATCGTTGTCAAGTCGGAGAGGCGTCGAAGATTTTGCCTTCCGCCTCTCAACTCTGCATCCGACTTGTCCTTCATGGTGATCTGACATCGATGAGAATTCGCGTCTGATCACCGCCGGAAGTACAGATTGTGGTTGCTACGGACTTTGACATGCTCACGCTTGAGGAAGCCATCGAGGAGGCTCAAGGGTGTTGATGACCGTGAAGAGCAAGCGCCTACCGAGCCAATCAACCGTCTGGCAAGCTCATGTATCTTGAGGAGCAATGGGCGCTGTTGGAAGAAGAAGGAGAAGAAGGCGGCGGGGATGATTCTTTGGCTCTAGTTCAAATATCCGCTGGTGGCAGCAGCTAACCGATGGTGGCAACGTGATCACACCATTGTGGCTAGAGGCCCGGGCAAGAGAGCGCCCTCATCACACGGCAAACAGAGATGGTGACCGTGATGGTGGCGTCCTCCTCTCCACCCATGGCAATCTCTGTGGCGAGTGGCGAGTAGCGGCGGTGTGGCGGCCACAATGGCCGTGTGCGAGCAGCGAGGATGATGGGGCTGTTTCAGCGCATGGGCTCGTTGATCTTGATAAGTGGCCAAGCATACACCTATCTTTGCTCAAGAGGTGAATCTGGAAGAACCAAAAGCCCGCGCCTTCCTTGGTGCCAATGGCGATGAAGAAAAGGCGGATGTGTGGTACCTTGATTCGGGAGTAGACGGCGTGAGCTTTTTTCGACTTGAACACGGACGTCAGGCACATCCGATTATGCGCCCAAAGTTGACATCAAAGGCATCGGTTCGATTGCTTTCCGGTGAGCATAGAGTACCGGCGTGTACTATGCACGAAGAACTCCATTATCGATCTGGGGTATCGGCTCCAAGGTGGAGATATATCACGACGTGTTACGTGTCGGGAACACCACCGGCCGTTTGATTGCCAAGGTGAGAGAGGGGCTGACCGATTACACACTGACGACGACCACTTTGGGTGGTCCGGAGGAGATGTAGCGTGGCGATGGCATGAGAGGATGGGGCATTTGAATTTTGATGCACTCCGCAGACTTGGGAAGGAGGAAATGGTAGCGCGGTGTCCCGGTTATTGACCATGTGGAAGCGGTGTGTGACACCGTGTCACCACCAAAATGAGGGCCTCCACAACGCAACACGTCACCGTGCCAAACACCCTTTGAGTGGTGGTGCGGCGATCCGCGGACCGGTGTTGCGCAGACGCTACGTTTCATGTGGGCGGCGCTCATACCAAGTCTCGAACAGAAGCCATCAAGCGCATCAAACCGGCGCAGAGGCGGAGAGTGGTCGAAAAATCAGGAAGCACCGATAATGGAGGAGAATTCACCTTGATTTCGCTACCTCTGCTTGCAGAACAAGGCATTAAGAGGCACTTGGTGCTCCCCACTCACCCTCGTGCAGAATGGGGTAGTTGAGCGGCGTAATCGGTCAAGAGTGGCCATGGCTGCGCTGTAAGCGAAAACTGCCAGCTTCGGTTTTAGGGGAGGCGTGATGATGACAAGTGATCCACATCTTGAACCGATCACCGACACGCGTGCGTTGAAGGGATCACTCCATATGAGGCTGGCATGGACGCGTTCACCAACTCGGGACACATGAAAGTGTTTGGGTGTGTGGCATACACCTCGGTCTTAAACTTGATGACCATGGCGAGGCCGGGCGTGTTTATTGGTTATGCGAAGGAGCTAAGGCATATAGGGTGTTTTGTGAGGATCCCGCTGGGATTGGTTGCTCCTGGGCCCCAATGAATTCAATTAAGTATCAAACATTTCGAAACCGCCGTCGCCGCCTCCCGGATTCACCAAGAACACGCAAAAGCCCAATTGGAGTTGAAAAGGGCTCCGCATCAACTCATCCTCGTTAATTACGCTCCAACTGCATTGGAAGTGTCAAGCCGATTGGCATGCCACGCGGAGGATGATGATGATCGATTGGATGCTTACGAGGATGAACCTCGCTCTGAATCGCAAGCCAATATCATTGGCGTGACCCACACCGCGCCAACACTTTTTTCGAAGCTGCATCTAACGCTTTCGCGAACCAAGCGACATGAAGCCAAGAGATCGGTAGTGCAGCACAATTCTGCGATCAAGAGAGAGAAACAAGGACAGGAGCTTGTGAAGAAGCTGCCACCGTCCAATCACCACAAGTGGGTGTTCAAATTGAAGAAGGACGAACACGGTAATGTTATCAAACACAAAGCCGGACTTGTCGCTCGTGGCTTTGTCAAGCGTGGATTATGATGATCGCTCTGTTGCACGCATGGAATCCGTTCGAGTCTTGTTAAACTGTTCATCGGATGGACGTCAAGTCCGCATTTAATGGAGACCTCAAGGAGGTAGGTATATGTGCATCACCGCTGGCTTTGTTGTTTTGGACAAGAAGACAAGGGTATATTCAAAATTCGGCAAGCACCAAAATGGAATGCAAAGCTTGATTCAACATTGAAGAAAAAGGTTTCGAGACAAAGCAACCATGAAGTGCAATCTATAGGCGAGGTTATCGGAAACTCTCTGTTGCTTGTCGGTGTGTATGTGGATGATTTGATCATCACAGGGCCAAAAAGCGGGATGTTGAAAGCTTCAAAAGGTGAAATGAAAGCAACATTTGAGATGAGTGACCTGCTCTTAAGCTTCTATCTGGGCATTGAAAATTGCAAGCACCGATGGCATCACTAACAGACTCACTATGCCAAAAGGATATTTGGAATTGACAACATGTGAATCACTCCTATGGAGGAAAGGCTAAGATTGAGCAAGAAAGGCTGACCAAGGAAGTTGATCCAACACAGCAGTCTGAGCGGTGGTTGGAAGCTGCGATATTTGGTTCATACTCGACCGACTTGGCATTTGCGATCGGGTTTGTGAGTAGATTTTGGAGAGGCCCACCATAGAGCATCAAGAAAAGTGAAGCGTATCCTTGGATAT